AGGGAGGGAGGGGGGAAATGGGGAGCTGATACCAATGGCTCAAGTAGAAAGCAAATGTTTTGAAAATGTTGATGGCAACAAATGTACAAATGTGCCTGACATAATGGATGGATGTATGGATTGTGATAAGAGTTGTACGAGCCCCCAAGAAAATGACTAAAAAGAAAAAGAATATATTGGCAACTACTCCTGAACCAAACGCCCTTTAACAAAGTTATGCTGCGAGCCCTTTTTCTCTGAAGCCCCTACAACCCTAATGACTCATCTAATTATCAGAGCTCCACCAGCAGCCCTCTCCCATTGTGACTCAGTTTCCCTGTGCACAGGCCCCAGACCCAAGCTGGATCAGGAGTCCTTTCCCAGGCAACTCTGGAACCGGGACTAAGAGACTAGTTCAGTCTAGCTGCTCTATGGAACAGGAGCGTTATAAGGTGGAAAGTACTAGAAGAAACTGAAATGCAGACAGGTTAGTCAGGAGAGAAAGAAAGAGGACTTCCGGACTCGTCACGACTCGTCACGAGCTCGGGTCTCTGGTTCCTCTTCTCTCCAGGCTCAGTCTTATGTCCCCGGGAGCCTGTGGGAGTCATAAACTAGATCTTATCGTTGCCAAGGCAACACCAATGGATTTTCTGATTTATAGCCAAGAGTGCTCCTGACAATGTCCCCAGGAAGAAGGAAAAGGGACAAGTCCAGGCCGTACCTCACTTTCCTCCACAACCAGGGTTCTCTCAGGCACCTCACTATCTTCTAATTCTGGTTGCCAGATCTTGTCTTCCAACTCCAGATCTGTAATAATTTCTTGAATTCTTACATTTCTTTCCTTCACACGTGCAATTTCGAACTCTTTTTGTTTAAATGAAGCATTAAACTCTTTATTAAAAACAGTTTTGACCTTGTAGATGATATCCTGAAACATCAATAGGTTACCGAAAGCATGTCACAAATTATCTTTTTCCTGGTAAATGAGCCCATAATTCTACTTTCCCTTCCAAAGGCATTCCACAAATAACCTTTTTAAAATATTATGTTCAGCCATTCTGAGGTTCAAGAATCTACGGTGGCATATGACCTGAGGTAGGATTAAAGCAACAGCATAACTGTTATACCAGAATCTAGTTCCTGAAATATAAATTATAACTCAATATACAGGTCTGTTGACAAATGCTTATGCTGGGTGACTTAAAAGCTTATCAGGCTATTTCTTTGAATTTTGCATGGATAGTTAATAATTTATCAAAAACTATTTTAAGGTGATTTAAATTGGGAAATGTCTTTTATTAGGAATTTAGTTTGGGGGCAGATATGGAGAAGAGGAGATGGTCTTAGAAGCTGGTTGGAAAATCTCCCAGGGAGATACAAGCACACATAATAGTGCTTCTTTATAGGGATGAGCCATTTTCAAGTGGAAAGGGAACCTAAGCTAGCCAGCTGGACCAGCCAATTCTTAAAATGGCAGTGGGTTCACATAGATTTCATCCACGGTGGCTGCCAGATAGAGCAACTCAAAGCAGGCATTATTTTTACCATCAGTGATCCCTCTAAGCAACTACCCGAGCGAAGATGGAACTCCTGAAGTCAGGTGGAAAGATGATCTTAACGGCTGGTATCAGGATTTCCCAGAGTACCTTTGCTAGATCAGTTCCATAATAAAACAGCCAGAAGCCTAGACCCGGAGGACAGGGGTCAGCAGAAGCCGAGCTGTGTGTAACTGTGAGGAGTAAGCAGTTATCCAGAAGTTGGAGGAGAAGAACAAAGAAGGACAGGACGAGAGCGTGATGTGGTAGTAGGCTGGGACTCACGCTGCAGACATGAAGGCCTTTCAAGAACAGAAATAGCCGGCCTTAAGTGTGACACTGTCTGCATTGGCATAATCTCCATTCTTGCATTTCTAGGAACCTTTCTGAGGGTTTTGGGGTATGTACAGATATATTTTGGGACTAACTTGCTCCGTGCAAAGGCATGAATAGAAGCTTAGACCCCAGGAGGCCCCATTCCTTATGACCGAGTCCTGGAATTTATAGAGATCTTCCAGAGCAAATCGCATCCCAGGTTAAAGGATTCAGCAATTGTATCTTGAGTTTACAGGAAGGTCTTAACAGATAGGAGTTACACAGAAGATGGGATTCAAGGGTTTCTTTGATTTTGTGCTTAAGTGAAGAGTAATGAATTGTGGTGTTAGTCAGTGTAAGATATTAATGGAAACCTTAATCTTGTAAAAACCAGTCCAAATGGATGCCAGCAACTCTGTTATAAAATCACATATATTAGGTATAGATTTAAAACTGTACTTTACGACACTGCTGTTTCAGGGGCAAGCACATTAGCTATCTGTATATTTCTTTATGTGCGTTAAAGTCACCATGTGGTTGACATTAGAGTTCAATTTGAGCTTTTGGGAAATAACTGATGGGAGATAATTTTTAGAAAGGTTTGAGGATAAAGATAAAATTCACTCACCTTCAGTAATATAATTTGGTCAATCTTCTCTTCTCTGGAGTGAAGTTCCAACTGGCTTTGCAAATAAGTAGTATCCACCCAAAAATCTGTACTCTGGCTGCCAAGCAGGTAATTGGGCAAGTTGGCATTTTTTATTGTCACGTTTTCTTCTTCCTCTTCATCATCCTCCTCGTGATGCTTTTTGCTTAAGGATACTGTAGACTCAACCTCTACAATTTCCTTCCGCAACTAAAGATGGAAGATGATATGGAAGTCATTCAACAATAAAGATTCTCTCAAGGGCAATTTTTTTTGACAACTTAATGATTTCAACTATCATTTTAAGATGTTTAATTATCTTGCCAACAACTGAATGCAAAGTGAAGGGTAGACTCTGAAACTGTTACCAAGCAGACTTAAAGCTTCAGAAATGGGGAAAATCCAAGTATAGAGAAGGTAAAAATTGTCCTTAAGAGTATATAATGTATATGTTTTTGAGTCAGGATCATACCTGCTTATGAGTATTTTCAGTCTTTTTCGGTACCTAAATATTAATATATATAAATTATATATATATATATATTCATATTTTACCAAACAACTAGCTCTTATAGGGCTGGTGGGCATGGGGTAAGAATAATTAAGTATACCTTCCTTCTGTATTTCAGAGAGCGCAGCTGCCAAGTGCTGGCTGACACAAAACTACATCAAAGAGACTGTGGGTCTAGTGGTTGGCCAGAGAGCTGCTAAAGAAGCTGGGATGTCTTAAGTCCATCAAAGTAGATTCTTACAATAGAACATAAAAGTGGGATGGGTGGATGATCATGGCCTCTGACCAGGGCAAAAGACAAAGTCTCAAGTCTCATTTTTCAGTCTATTTTCATATTTAAAGATTAACCAGTGCTGGATAGCATGTAGGTTAACACTTTTAAAGTTTCAAATTGCACTCTTGCGCCTGACTTACGATGTGGATACAGGACTGTAAATAGAATATGTTCTACAAGTGAACAGGGGATGACAATATAAATGCAAAAAACACCCCATCTACATTTATCTTAAACCGCATGCCAACTCAAATCTATCTGGAGAACCTGAAATAAAGTGCATAATTTATAAAAAATAGAATGTATGAAGGGATAGATTTAAAACCGTACTTTAAGACACTCTGTTTCGATCTTCTTTTGCTGTAAAACTTTCTCCAATTCTTTCAGCTCTTCAGCTGTGCGCTCTTTCATTGGGAAGTTCTCAACTACATAGGGTAGGTGAAAGCACTCGGGGACAAAAGAGATGAAATAAATGTTTAGTACATCTGGGTGTGTTTTCCCCTATTAAATTTAATACCAAAAGTAGAATATCTTCCATGAGTGAAATTGGCCAGAGAAACATCTTCAAAAGAAAGCAATATATGTCATGAGTATAGTATAGTTCCCCATATCCACAGTACCATATTCCGTATTTATAGCTTTCCATGGTCTGAAATAGTACATGGAACATTCCAGAGTTTAAACACTTTGTAAATTTCAAATGGCATGCTTTTCTGGGTAGCAGGATGAAATCTTGTTCCATCCCACCTGGGATGGGGAATCATCCCTTTGCCTGGCATATCCACGCTGCACCTGCTCGTCACCAAGTAACCATCTCTACTATCAGATCGACTGTTGTGGCATCAACGTGGCTTGTGTTCAAGTAACCCTTATTTTATTTAATGACAGCTCCATTTATCATTCATTATTGTTGTTCATCTCTTACTGTGCCTAATTTATAAATTAAACTTTATCATAAGTATGTACATATCAGGGAAAACCTATGTAGTACACGTAGGGATTTGGTGCTATCCTTGGTTTTAGGCATCCACTAAGGGTCTTGGAACACATCCCCCATCGATAAAGGGGGAATACTGTATTGGAATAGGCTGTATTGGTGTAATCTTTGGATAACAAGACTATGCTTGGATTGCTTGGATGAAGAATGCATTTCAAGATCAGTAGCTCTTACTGAGGGGCTCTTGTAACCTTAAGGAGTCCTGGTGGGCCAGTGATAACCACTGAGTCAGCAGATGGAGCCTGCTAATTGCTCTGTGGGAGGAAGATGTAGCAGTTTGCATCTGTAAATATGTACAACCTAGGGAATCCATAAGACAGTTCTATTCTGTCTCACAGAGTTACTATGACTTGATGACAATGGATTTATTTTGCAACTTGGGGACATTTGGCAATGTCTGGAGACATTTTTGATCATCATGACTGAGATGAGGAGGTCCTATTGGTATCCAGTTGCTAAACATCTTACAATGCTTAGGACAGCCTTTTACAGCCAAGAGTTATTGAGCCCCAAAAGTGCTGTGGTTGAGAGACTTTCTTGTACAGCAATACTCAGTCACGTCAAGTTGAGGGTGACATATGCTTCCTTATCCAAACAGCAGCATGTTTGAACGTGGGAGAGGTGCTGTCAACTGTTTCTCTAGGACCACAGGCATCAACCAAGACTTTTGGTCATTCTATAAGAACAGGGAGGATATGCTGGGAGGAAGGGAAACACAAAGGCCCTTGAGCAATTGTGAAGGTAAGCACAGATGGAAACAGGAAGGCTGTGATGTCCACCATTTAATCTGCATGACACCGGCGTGAGGTGGTCTTTTGAAATAGCATGAGTGAAGGTCCCGTTACAGAGGAAAGAAGGAAAGGGCTGCTAAGGCAAACATTGAGAAACTCTGCCCAAGAGGGATATAAGCGGTGAGCAGAGAGGAAAGAAGGGCAAGAGAAAGTGGCCCGCCCTAGTGGACTCTTGCACACTTCCAAATGGGAAAAGGACAGCTTTGAGTTGTTTGCTATGCATGGATTTTGTGAAATATATATATATTTTTTGTCATGAGATTTGCATGGAAAATTCTCATCAGTCCATGTCTGTATATATGTTATATATGTCACCTTCAGAGAACGGCCTTTCACAGTCATCGAATTCCAGCATTCCCCTTTGATTAGATCAGCCAAATAGTTTTTGGCTAGGTTCTCCATCTCGCTGTCTTTTTTTATCTTGGAGATCATGGATGAAGAAAAAAGTAAAAAGCAAAACAAGAAAAAAAGAAAAGTGAGATTTCTTAAAATAACAATATCAATTTTCAGATTAACTCCCAACTCTGCCCTGTAGGGATGCTATAGGTCAGAACTGACTTGACAGCACATAACGGCAAGTCACTATTACACATTGAATAACAGAGCCTGGTTGTTTATCCCTGGTCCACTGAGTTGCACTTTGGGGAGAACACTCCTCTGTCTTTGCAAATGTTTCCTGAAGCAGGAATCCTTGAAAACTGGGTGTTAACACCATTGTGTTTAGGAGAGCAGGTTACATAGGTGAAAGAAGTCAGATGTGAGAATAGACACCTCTCTGGGTTAGAAAGAGGGTCAGAGGTGGACTGGAGCTTCCATATACACAACGGTGCAGGTGGGGATGCGGACCCACTATGACACCTGTCTGCTCTTGCTTATCGTTACTTTATCCTCAGTGCCTAGACTGTGACTGTCATAAATACTGCAGGATGGTTATCAATAAATGATTCAGAATAAATGAATGAATGGATAAATGATAACCTCAGGTGAGTTTTACCTTATTGAGTAAAAAATGCTGAAAGACTTTTCGTCATGATTAAATCTATTTGAAGCCTTCCAAGCCCTACCTCATTAATGGATTTCACAAGCTGCCCTTCTTTCTGTATTTCCACCTCAATCATCAAAGAGCATGTTTAACAGAATCCTGGAGAGGGGTGGGGTGGGAGTGGGCACATAGTGGAAAATTCCCTCCTAGAGATATCAGCCATTTTGGGTATAGTTGCTAAATCAATTCTAAAACACCTAAATGTCCTTAAATCCAGCTATATTCCATTCTCCTGTTCAGAAAATAAATATTTTTATACTCGCCCTGCAACTTGACTGTGAGTTTGTCATGTTGTGATGTCCTGCATGTTGCTACAATCCTGGAAGCTGTGGCAGTGGTACTTCAAATACCAGCAGGGTCACCGGTGGTGGACAGGTTTCCTCAGAGCTTCCTGACAAGACTAGAAAGGACTAGGTGATCTACTTCTGAAAAACTTGACCAGTAAAAACCTTTGGAATAGTAGCAGAACATTGATACCATGCCAGATGATGAGCCGATCCGGTTGGAAGGCACATAAAACACAGAGGGGGAACAGCTGCCTCCACAAAGGAGAGCTGACCTTAGTGACCACTGTGAATACAGTATAGCTTTCAGGACCTTCCTTTGTTGATGTGGCATGGCTCAACATGAAAAGAAACAGCTGCCAACAGCCATTAATAATCAGGAATGCATGAAGGATGAACCTAGGAAAACTGGAAATTATCCAAAAGGGAATGGAACGCTTGAAGGTCCATGTCTTCTTAGGCATTAGTGAGCTGAAAGGCACTAGCATTGCCGTTTTCAACTGGGCAGTCATGAATGAGGTGTACGGTGGCCAAGGGAAAGAGCACAGAGGAATAGTGTCGCATTCATTGTCAAAAAGAACCTTTCCAGATCTCTTTTCCGAAGTACATCACTGTCAGTGATAAGGTCATGTCCATATGCCTGCAAGGAAGGAGGGATCCTGGTGGCTTGGGATTTTGGGATTGAAACACATGTCTGCTGAGCAAAAGGTTGGGAGTTCCAACCCATGAGCTGCTCCATGGGAGAAAGATTGGCAGTCTGCTCTCATGAAGATTTACAGCCTTGGAACCCTGTCAACCCGATGCAATATCATCAGCCAGAACAAGGTGTGGGGCAGAATAGACCACCAATTCTTCATATGCATCTTTATAGCTAAGGTGCACTTCTTGTAGACTGCATATTAAAGGTTTATATTTTTATCCATTCTGTTAGTCTTTGTCTTTTAACAGGTGAATTCCATCCATTTACATTCAATGTTGTTATTTGTAAATATGACTTTGTTGATGTCATTCTATTATATGTTTCTTTTATAGTATTACTGGTTTTAGATTTTTCATGTCGTTCTGCTGGTATTTGTCTTGTTACTCTCTTTACTGTTTTTGTTTTTATCTTATTGTTTGTCTTGTTAATATGGTTTTCATTTCATTTTGTTGAAGCTTTAATTTTTTCTTTCTAGGTTGTTTGTGTTTTAGATTTTCTTTCCAATTTCAAAGTGTTTGTTGTATTTGGGGAGTGGTCAACATCTTCTCCATTCAAGTACTTAGTGACTACCCTGTTCCCTCTGATCTTATTTATTTTTATCTTTATAGTAAATGTTGTCGACAATTCATTGTTTTAATTAATTTAGTTCTATTTCCCAGTGAATATTGCTTCAATGAATGTTTCCTTCATAATGATTTATTGTCCAATATTTTTAGGTTGCTGTTTGTTTTTTGTTATAGATTTTCTCTTTATAGAACTTTTGTTATTGTTTTTATAAAGATGGTTGTGTTTTCATAAATCCCTGTAGCATTTCCTTGTATGTAAATGTCTTTATTTCTCACTCATAATTATCCCTCAAATATGAGGGATAATTTTGCTGGGTATAGGATTCTTGCCTGACAATATTTTTCTATATATATGGGTTTTTTTGCGGGGGGTCAGTATTTTGAATATATCATTCCCTTGCTTGTTGCCTCAATTCTATCAGTGGAAAAATCTGGACTTATCCTGATATCTTGGACTTTTTATGTAAGTTTTCTTTTTTTCCATGCAGATTTCAGGATTGTTTCCTTATCCTTAATATTAAAAATTTTAATTATTATATGTTGAGGTGATTTCCTTTTTTAGGTCAGTTCTGTTTGGTGTTCTATGGATTTGGTACATAGTTATTTTATGTCCTGACATGAGGTTATAGAAGTTCTCCGTTAATATTTCACCGATTATTTTCTCAGTAGCGGTTATTTATTCTTTCTGTTATGAGACATTTATCAAGGGTATGTTGTCCTTTTGATGGTGTCCCATAGAATTCTTAGATTGTCTTCTGGGTTTGTATGCTTGCTTATTTGTTTTGTCATTTTTTTTTAACCTGGTTGCCCTGTATTTTGTTCTGGAGAGATTCCGCTTCAAGATCTCCGAGTCTTGGGTCTCATATTGGTATGTTGTTTTGATCTTTTACAGTGCTGTCAAGTTCTGATATTTTGGTATTTACCTTTTGTATTTCTGTTTGAAGTCATTGTATTATTTCTAATTCTTCATCCATTTTGTTGGCATGTTCTTTCAAGACACATCTGAGTTCTTGAATTATGCACGTTTCCCCTCTTTATCTATTTTTTCCTCTAAACTGGAGACCATCGCTGTAATCTCAGTCTTGGGAAGATCAGTGCACCTTCCCTCCTCCAGGAGCTCCCCTGGTCCCACATTTGTGTGTGGTGCAGTTACTGGGGCTATTCCTCCTGCTCCCACAAGGGTGTGGAGATCAATTTCTGTCTCTGAGATAAGGTGTGTTTATGAGTTAATTTGTCTTTTATGTTTAACCCTGAATGCAGAGTTATCTGCGCACACCTGCTGTGAAACCTGGATAGTCAAGGGAGGCCAGGCGATTCCACACCAGTCTAGCCTTAACAGGGGCAAAGTCAGCAAATAATTAAAAATCAGAGAATAGGGAAAATATATCAAGCTAATGACAGCCTAAAGAAAGCAGGAGTAGCAATATTAATCTCAGACAAAATAGACATCAAAGTTAATGACATAATGAGAGACAAAGAAGGTCACTATATAATTATGAAATCTTTAATTGAAGAAGAAACCATAACCAAATTTAATGTGTACATATCAAATGAAAGACCATCAAAATACATTAATCAAATTCTTATAGAAATGAAGAAACAAATAGATCATAATATGATAACATTAAGAGATTTAAATACATCACTTTCAACTACATATTGATTAACTGGAGAGAAAATCAACAAAGATACAAAAGTATTAAATTAACACACTCTACTTGATCTCATAGATATTTCACTCCACAAAAATTCATTTCGCTTTCTTCTCCAGTATTCACAGAAGCTATTCTCAAATCTAACCTATTTTAGGTTATAAAGCAAGCATCATTAAGTTAAAAAACATTGAGATAATATAATCCATCTTTTCAGATCATAACGCTGCAAAATTAGAAATCAACCATAGAATCTTCAGCTCCAAAACTCCAAATACATGGAAATTGAATGAAATTTTACTCAAGAACCACTGGGTGATTGAAGAAATAAGGAACACAATGAAAAGATTCCTTGAAACAAATGAGAACAAAAACACAACATCTCAAAACCTTTGGGACATGGCAAAAGCAGGATGCGAACAGCAGTTTGTAGAAATATCTGCACACATCAACGAAGCAAAAAGAATGAAAATTAATACCTTGACACATCAACTGTAATTGGAAAAATTTCACCAAGACAGACCATCATATGCTAGAAGAAAAAACTAGGGAAGAAATCAATGAATAAGAAAAAATTTAAAACTATGGATAAACCACCAAGACAAGAAGTTGGCTCTTTGAAAAGAACAAAATTAATAAAGCACTGGCAAACCTAACAATGGAAAAGAATGAGGGGGGCGGATGTACAAATAAGAAATTAAACAGATGATATTACAACAGAACCAAATAAGATAAAAACAATATCCTAACAAGAAAAATACTAATAAGCCAATTTTTAAAATGGGCACAAGACATCAATATACACTCTACCAAAGACAGCATATAGGCAGCCAACAGTCAAATGAAAAAATGTCATGATCATTAGAAATAAGAGAAATACATATTAAAACGAGATATCACCTTACTCTGACACTTCAATAAAATAGAAAATTTTAAATGCTGGAGAGATACATTGCTGGTGGGACTGTTGCATTGTAAAACCATCATGGAAATCAGTCTGGTACCTCCTGAAACAAATGCAACTCCACGTACCGTTCGATCCAGCAGTATCCCTACTGGTTATATACCCTAAAGAAATTAAGAATGTAATATACAGGGGAAAAATGAGGACCTAATGTCGGGGGTTTAAATGGAGAGAAAATGTTTTGAGAAATGATGTACAAATACGCTTTACACAATTGATGTGTGTATGGATTGGGATAACAGTTGTATGAGCCCCTAATAAAATGTTTAAAAAAAAAAGAATGTAATATACATGGACATATGTACACCTAAGTTTATTGCACAATAGATAAACAAAAACATGGAAACAACCCAAAATAACCCAAAAACATGGAAACAACCCAACTATAGAGGAATGGATAAACAAGCTCAGGTACATTCATACTATGGAATTTTGTATATCAATGAAAAATAATGACAATGCTCTTAAACACCACAAGACAAGGACAAAACTAGAGAATACTATGCTTAGCAAACTCGATCTTAAAAAGATGAATATTGAATATCACCATTATTATAAGCAAAACAAAGAAGAAGAAATGTGGTCTATACATCAAAAAACAGGACTTTGATGACTATGAGAAGACCAGGGCTGCAGGTCAGAAAAGGGAGAGGAAAGGAATTGGGAGTTGGGTGGTGGGGAGAAGGGCAAAAATGTTGGGTTTAACAGGAAAAATAAAATAAAAATTGCTCCATGAAGAAAAAAAAAGAAACCACCTCAAACCCTCCAGATTCCTTACTCTACAGATCTCAATATTGGTCTGAGTGTCTAAAAAAGGAGGAAAACTAAAACTGATGTGGAATGGGAGTTTTCAGTGACAAGTTCATTTCAAATATATGGGAAAACCGAAATGCTCATATGCAAGTTCAAGTTGAAGCTGAAGAAATGTGGTTTAGATATCAAAACAAAAACAAAAACTTGGAAACAACCCCAAACCCCAACTATAGAGGAATGGATAAACAAGCTCTGGTGCATTCATACTATGGAATTTTGTATATCAATGAAAAATAATGATATCGCTCTTAAACATCACAAGACAAGGACAAAACTAGAGAATACTATGCTTAGCAAACTCAATCTTAGAAAGACGAATATTCAATATCACATTATAAGCAAAACAACACTATAAGACAAGTTTACAAGCACCAGAGTATGACCTTGAGTCCATGTATCCCCTTGGCTCTAGAGACCATCTCAAGAATCCTCTCGACACACTGAGCACTAATGACCCAAGACCAGTCAATTTGTGAGGAAGGGAGGTAGGGAGATACAGAAGGATGGCCAGGGAGAGGGTGAGAGAGAGCAAGAAGGGTGAGAAAGAGAAAGAAGGTGTGTGTGGGCGGGGGAGCGGAGGGGGGGAGTATTTCAATTAACTTTCTACAAGCAGAAGTATTCAAAGATGGCATGAGGGAGCAGAAGAGATTTCTAACACTCTTCATATGAAGAGTAGCAGAAGGTTAGCGTGAGTGTAACAGAAAAAGACTGATTGGATTGGATGGCTTTCTTTTCCTTCTCGCCTAAGTTCAATGATTCATCCATCCACTCTATCTGTGTGTCCTAACTTGGCTTTATTTACATTATGCTAGAAATCTTCTGCGTTGTCTGCATTATTCTAGAAAAGCACTCTTTCCTGTTTTTTTACTTCTCTCATTACAGCATTATGATACTCCGTTTAAACCTTGCCATCCATACCTTTGCTATTTCTTCCTCACTCTCATCGTGAAGCCTTTCCAACTCTTCAAGATCCAGGCTAAATTCTTTTTGTTCTAATCTGGCAACAAAGGCCAAGCTTTCATTTTCTTCCATCATACTCGCAACCTGAATTTTAAAACAGGAGAGGGCAGCAACAAGCAAGGAATTAAACTTTAGAGATGGGTTTCCAGCCCCATTAGACAAACAATTTTTAAAAATAGATGTTTTATTGACCTACATGTAACTACTGAGTAAAGAATAAGTTTGTGGAGTTACTGTGGTTATTGAAACAAATGTTCTGGATTTTCAAAATATTAAAAAAGACCAGATTCACTGGTCCAGTAGAGACTGGTGGACTCAAAAGACTATAGTTCTTAGCTATCCTTCATGCCTGGCACTGAACCCAAGCCTGGGGATCAACCTGCAGCCAAATAATAGGCCTATAACGTGAGTAGTAATACTAGGGAGGAATGTAATCCTCAGTACAATCAACCACCAGAGTTCAAAAGGGCAGTATTTCCCCCAAAACAAAGGTCAGAAGTCAGGAAAGGGCAAGACAGAAAGACAACTGGAAATATGGAACCCAGAGAGGAAGTGGGAAGAGTCTTTTTACATTGAGAAGATTGCACCAATGTCCTGAAACAAAATGTGTATATATTGTTGAATGGAAAACGGATTTGTTCTGTAAACTATCACACAAACTACAATGTAAAAAAGGAGAAGAAAAAGAATAAATAGGGGCCTGACTCAGGAGGTAGGTGAGGGGATTCCTCGGAACTTGAGGAGGAAAAATTCTTCGGACAACAGCTGTGCTCTTGGTCTAGAGAGCACGATTCAGATTGCTCGAGGTCCGAGGTTTCCAGGGGGAAAACGCACTGACGGATTAATTATCTCAGGTAGTTAAGTGTATTGGAAAGATTTCCTAGTACCTAGTGAGGATTTGAAAAGGCACTTAAAAAGGTTTAATGCAAAACCAAGAAAATTAAACATTTCAGGGAAAACAAAGTTCTAATAATGGAACTGTAATACAGGATCCCTGGAGGCAAAAACAAACATCTATGCCCACAGCTGCTAACTGGAAGGGTAAAGCTCTGAACCCACTCAATGGCTCTATGGGAGAAAGATGTAGTGATCTGCAAGGGGAGGGGGAAAAAAAAGGGAAAATGAGCTGATTCCGGGAACCCAAGAGGCAAGCGAATTTTGGGAATAATGAGGGCAACAAATGTATAGATGTGCTTTACACAATTGATCTATGTATTGTGATGAATTGTATGAGCCCCAATACATTGATTTTAAAAAAATTAAATGAGATATAACACATTGGAAAAAGACAAGTAAACTACTTCTTGTATATAGTGAAATGTGATAAAAATTGTACCCTATGAAAATTCCCCAGAAAACTGAGCTTACAAGCAGAGAAGAAAAAGTTGGTATAGCTCTTCAGGCTATCTTAAACAAAACAAATTTCCAATAGTCCTTTTAGAACGAGATCCAAATGTATTAGTATATAAAATCCTAATACTCACCATCCTAACAAGTGCTTTGATTCCTTTTTTAATGTCTTTCCTTTTCTTGGAGAACTGGTTAACCTCTTCTTTAATGGCCTGGAACGATGCAAAATAATCATTTAACAAATAAAGAGAAAGAGTACATTGGGTAGAGAGATAGGTATCCCCTCTCAACAAACAGATTCTTTTTTTTTTTTAAGTGATAATGTCAAGGGTACATAATAAACAAAGGCAAACTCACTGTAAACCCCTGCGTAAGTCTAATAGCTACTATAGTTATGTGACCACTGAAAAACTTGGACAGAATGCTAATTATAGGGTCAATGGAAATGAAAAATTAAGTTGTGAATAGTTACCAAAAGGAAAGCAATATGTCATCAGGCTAAACCCAGACACTTTCCACAGGAAACCAAATTATGTGGTGCACCTGCAGAACATTATTTCAAGCATAGCCCATGTCTGATTTACCTCTTGACTTTTTGTTTGCATCCAGGATATTTTTTTAATGTCTTGAGCTGAGGGCATTTCCTCTTGTGAGGACTCAATTCTTATTGGCATGTTTTCTTGAGGTTCCTTCGAAGAAAAGACAATTTCAGAATTCAGTCTAGAAGTCATCAAGTTCTCCTCCTGACCTATCCCATGTAACCACCTTGGATCTCTTTGTACTTTTTGCATTTTTCTATTACAATAGCAAATATTTTGACTAAAAAATTCAAGAAGATTTGTTAAGAATTCAACAAACCATCAAAAAAACCCAACAAAACAAAAACCATCATTGAGGATGGGAGGGGAGAGATAGGGGGGGGAAAGGAGCTTATACCAAAGGTTTCAATAGAAAGTAAATGTTTAAAAATAATGATGGCAACTTATGTACAAATATGCTTGATACAATTGATGTATGGATTGTTATAAGAGCTGTGAGAACCCCCAATAAAATGATCTTGAAATGAAAAAAAGAATACATCATGATCAAGTGGGATTCATACCAGGTATATGCAAAGATGGTTTAATATTAGAAAAACAATCAATGTAATCCACCATAAATACAAAATTAAGGATAAGAATATATGATTATATCAATCAATGCAGAACTGACATTTGATAAAATTCAACATCGATTCTGAATTTTAAAAAACACTCAATAAAATATGCTAGAAAGGAAATTCCTCAATAAAGTTAAGTTTATATATGCAAAACCAATGGCACGCATCTCACTCGTGGAAAGAGTGGAAAAAAGTCCACCTTCAAACAGGAACCAGATCGGGTTGCTCTGTGTCACTGCTCATATTTAGTGTACTCCTTAAATTCTTAGCCAGAGCTATATGACATCAAACGCGATTGAAGCAGCAGTTCTCAACCTGTGGGTTGCGACCCCTTTGGGGGTCGAGTGACCCTTGCACAGGGGTCACCTTATTTATAACAGTAGCAAAATTACAGTTATGAAGTAGCAATGAAAATAATTTTATGGTTGGGGGATCACCACAACATGAGGAACTGTGTTAAAGGGTCACAGCATTAGGAAAGTTGAGAATCACTGTATTAAAAGCATCCACATGGGCACAGAAGAAACAAAACTCAATTGGATTCTTGCATATTAAAGAAGATGACAGTGACAGGGAAATTAAAAGAACAATATTATTTATATTAACTACCCAAAATATATCTAGGAATAAATCTTGCCAGAGAAACAAAAGACATACAAAGAAAACTATGAAACAATTCCACAAGAACCAAAAGACTTACACAGAGAATGTTCCACACTCCTGGATAGGAAGACTAAATATAGTGAAAATGTCAATGTTACAAAAACACTTTATAAATTCAATGCAATTTCAATCCAAATCCCAGTACAATTCTTCAAAGAAATGGAAAAATTACTCACCAATGTTATGTGGCAAGGAAAGAAACCCAGGATAAGCAAAATATATTAGTATTTTATTTAGGAAAATATAATCATGACTTATGGACACTCCATTGTAACCAATCATTCCCATGGGCCATATCCTCAGTTCTGTACAACCATTTTGTTGTTTGTCCACAACCTCCTGTTCCATAGAATGCCTCCTCCAGCAACTACATTTTCTGACTCACCTAGGCAGCAATCCTTTGACCTGCTACCTCCCAACTCCCACTTTAAACATAATCTCTCTCTCACTCTCTCTCTCTCACTCACATACACACACATGTGCGCGTGCGCACACATACATTTGACTTATCAGAACCCTCAACCAAGTTTGCAAGGCCCTAAATTTTGTTAAACTTAACAATCCACCTTCTCTATGTTTGTATTGGGCCCATAAATGTGACTATAGGCAAGCTCTCCCCGCAGGTGGCCTGACTCAATTCATGGTCATGAACTCGGCAACCACATAATTTGTTGTCCACCTTTAGTTTAAAAAAAAAAGATCACCATGAGTCAAATTGACTTCCCCCATGAGTCAAATTGACTTCCCCATCTCTTTCTCCTTGTTCAAACCTCCTCCTCCATTCCTCCCCATCTCCACGCATGGCACTTGTTTTATACAGTTTTTCAAATTGTTCAGAATGTTGGGAGTTATCCTTGAGTCCATTCTGTCCTTCTCCTCGTTGTCCGATCCATCAGTGATTTCTGTCAACTAGACCTCTGAAACCTAGCTGAAATCTCCCATATCTTTTCTTCTCCACAACCTCTCCTCTGCCTTTGTCATCTTTACATGGACCTCTGCCAAAATGTTCCAACTAATGTCCTTGCTTCCACTCTTGCTCCCCCTTACAGGAAATATTCTCCATATAGCAGCAAATGATTATTAAAAATGTAAATACTATCTTATTAAATCTCTTCCCAGAACACTTTTTAAGAGGTTCTCATAACACATAGGACAAAATCACAACTCTCCGCCCAGCCTTACTCTGTCTCTTCCCACCTCTATGTCCTCATCTCTTCCCACTGTCTCCTTTGCTCACTTCAACTGTACCGACCTTTTTAGGTCCTCAAACACACGAAGCTCTTTCATACCTTTTCCCTTGTCCCTAAGTGCCCTTGTCACCAAATCCTTACCTTGGCATCCCATGTCACTTCTTTTATTTCAGATCTTGGCTTAAATGCCTACTTCTCAGTGAGGCTATCTATCAAAGCTCTGTCACACCAAGCCGTTTTTCTTTGGCAACTATAGCTTGTCACTGTTTGTTTGTTTGTTTGTTTATCAGCCTTCCTCATCCTCCAATTAGAATGTAAGTTCTAGTTTATTCATAGCTAGATCCCTACAGCCTAGCACACTGTAGGGCTTTCAGTGAGTATTTGTTCATGGAATGATTGGCTGTTGTTTGCTGGCAAGGGTCATCCTAACTAATAAAAAACAAAGTTTCCATCAAGTTGACTCCCTTTTATAGTGACCAAGGTGTGCCAGTGCAGGACCGAGCTACAGAGAGTTTCACTGACTTCTTTTGGCCTGAAGTAGATCACCAGGTCTTTCTTCAGGGGTATCTCTGGGTGGATACAGAACACCAAATTCTGGAGTAGTAGTGAGCAGGATAGTAGTTTGCCCTGTCCAGGGGCTCTTCCTAAATAATATATGTGATGTCACTGAGCTGCTAACCATAAGGTCAGTTGTTCAAAACCACCAGCCTCCTGGTAGTAGAAAGATGAGTCTTTCTACTCCCCTAATTGTTTGTTTGTTTTTAACTACTAGAGAGGCTTATTTGGCAAAGCACCAGTATTGTTAGTATAGTCCCTGCTCCCAGGCAAACCTAGATCTTTGTATTATGATTTGGATGACATCTGAGATGTTTATTTGTGACTGGTTTGAGAAAATAAGAATATTTATTCTCAGATATAGTTCAGACTCTTTGGGGAAATCATGGAATACCTGGTAAAGAAGAACATTATTAAATATTAGCTTAACGTAAACAGCAAGTTGCATATCGATTTTAATGAAAAAGAAAACCACATTGGACTTAACTGTATTTTCATTTCCCAGTTCCAAATCTAAGGATTGTTTTGACATAGATTTTATATAGCTATGCTCCTCTTCTATGGTATTGTTCAGAGAAGACAAAAGTTTCAGGTAGTGATCAAGACTGTTAGTCGCTAAGAGGCCTCCAAAGCGCCTAAATTAATAAAAAGAAAACATGTAGGCAACAAAAGCACAAGTTTAAAAGATCAACCTAGACCTATTATTACCATATATCTAACCATTTTTTAACCAAGTAAGAAATATGAGGACAACTGCCCACTCGAAACCTCTAAACCCAGTCTATTTCCAGCTCATTGATTCCAATTCACGGTGACCCTCCATAAGGCATCTGAGCCGGTCAATCTTTATGGAGACGGACACCCTTGTTCGTTTCCCTTCAAGTGACTGGTGGGTCTGAACTACCCGTTTGCAGCTCACAGAGTTCTCTACGTCTCGTAGGTGAACTTTTTCCTGGATGACAGGACACAACAAGCCTCTTGACCTCTCAGGGCTGACCTCTCTAATGCCTTCCCCAAGCTCTTACCCAACATTGTCCTCTGCATCCACCTGGGTCATTGCACAGGAAAGCCATTGGAATAGCTGAGTCTACATGCTAAGGAGTGCTGGTGGCACTATGTGTTAGGTGTTGTGCTATCTGATCCCATACAGATTTGTAGTCTCAGAAATCCTATATGCGTCAGAAGTGACTCCATGGCAGGGGATTTTGTTGATGTCTGGTTTTAAGAATATGCTAGGTATTGTGTACATGTATGGGGCGGGGGGCGGCTGTTAAAGCTCCTGGAAAAATGGAAGTGATAAATAATGGCACTGTGGTGGCACAGCGGGTTACATGTTGAGCTGCTAACCGAAAAGTTGGTGGTTTGAACCCACTAGCTGCAGAAAGATGAGAGCCTGCTACCAAGAAGATCTACAGCCTCGGGAACCCTATGCAACAGATCTCCTCTGGTTCCTGAGTCAGCTTCAGATATGCTTATTTCTATCATCTCATTTAGCCTTCCTGTTGAGGATCTTGCTATTACTTTCCTTCAATACACTGGGGTTTCACACCTTAGTGTCCCTTGCTGTCCTGCGTTGACACTGAGTCCATTCTGACTCCTTTGACGCTGACTCCCCCCACCCCACCCCCGTGCACAGCATTCTACTGTATTCCAAAGAATTTTCAAGGCCATGACCATTCAGAAGTAGGTTGCTGGGTTGGTCTTCTGAGCTGCATGTAGGTGGGTTTCAATCACCAGCTTTTCAGCTAGTAGTCCAGCCTGAGCTTAACCATTTGCACCACTCCGGGACTCCTTGCATCACCTCGTGGGCTGGTCAAAATACAGATTCCCCGGGCCTCACCTGCAGAGATTCTGGTACAGGAAGTCTAGGAAGCCCAAAGAATGTTCGATTCTAACAAATTCACAGGTGCTGGGTAGCACTGTTAGCAAAGAGTTAAGAGAGGCTAAGTCACATGGACTGGAGACCTGTTGGTGTAGTAGGTTACCCATTGGGCTACTAACTGCAAGGTTAAGAGTTCAAATCCACCAGGCACTCCATGGAAGAAAGATGAGGCTTTCTGTCCCTTTAAAGATTTAAAGTCTGGAAGCCCAAAGGGGCAGTTCTACCCTGTGCTATAGAATCACTGTGAGTCTGAATCAACTGACAGTGAGTTTAAGTTGTATGTATGCGGTCACACACTAATAAATCTTAGACCAAAGTTTCAAAGCCAGTTTTGTTTTGAGACCAACATCTGTGCACTTAATTACCAATGGACCAAAATATCTTTACCTTCATAAATAGGGTTCTGGTATGTGTTGGATGTTATGTGAGATGTTATTTTTTTGCTAATATATGAAGACTTGAGAGCAAGGGAAGGAGCTCAGAGGGCACATTGGTTAAGCGCTTGGTTGTTAACCAAAGAGTTGGGAGTTAAAACCCACCAGCTGCTCCATACGACAGACATGACAGTCTGCTCCAGGAGGACTACAGGTGTGCAAACTTGATGGCAATGGGTTAAGGAATGAGGTAAAAGTTAATATCTTATTCATTGATGTTAAGGAATGAGGTAAAAGTTAATATCTTATTCACTGACGTAGGCAAAAAAATGGATGAAATTATGGTCTTAAAATGACACTTTGAAATGAAGTGCAACCCAAACTCATGATACAACCATCTCAGCCATGCTTAACATGCTCGCCGTGTTGTTGTGACAGGCCTTTTACTTATCTGGATCTAAGCAAAGGGACCCCTGGTGGCCTAGTGGTTATGAGCTGGGCTGCAATCCCCAAGTTCAACAGTTTGAAACCAGCAGCCAATCTGTGGGAGAAAGACTGGTCTTTCTAGTCCAGTAGACAGTTGTGCAGTTCTACCCTGTCCTACAGGGTCGCTGTAAGTAGACATGGACTCTGTGGCAGGGAGACCTAAGCAAATTCAAAATAATTTCATATGAAATAATTTAATTCAAAAATATAATTAGTAAAATGTGTATACAAACTCATACAAGTAGCAGAGTTGCTAGAGGTAAGTATGACCTTTTAAAGTTATCTACTATTCAGAATTATTCTCATCCCCCATGTTCCGCAGCAGTGGGGGAAAGAGAGTGAGGACTGATCACCGCAGCCTGGTGGAGCTGGTGACTGGGCAGGATACGTACTTCCACTTCAAAGCAACAAGAGTACTGTCAGTTTTCCCATTCACCAGGATGTCCTGTCCATCCAATGAAATGGTCAGTGACTGAATCCCTTGCCCCTGGTAAGAATGGCTCCGACACCGAGCAAATATTTCCTAAACAAAACACAGAAATTATAAACTACATAGTTTTCTAAGAGGAGTGCATGCATTTTTGTTGATTACCAGGTAGTGCAGGGGGCTGGCTACCTATTCGGCTGCTAAACCCAAGGAAAGCAGTTCAAAACCACCAGCTGCTCCATGGGTAAAAGATGAGGCTTTCTACTCCTGTAAAAACGTATAGTCTCCGAAACCCCCAGGGACAGTTCTTCTCTGTCCTGTGGGGTTAGTCTTAGTTTTAGTTAGATGACAGTGGGGCTACTGGGTTGTTTTCCTCCCTCTTTGTGAAGAACATTTTACTTGGAAGGACAGCAGCTTCTGGGTGAGATTACTTAAAATTACCAGTTCAAAACATGTCCAAAAATATGGATTCCTTCTCCAACTACCTTTAGGAAGTAGGGAAGGCAGGCAATTATTATTACAAATTCACAATAGGAAAATCGGACTTGAAAAAAGTTAATGCAGTTGCTGGAACTGCAAGGCGAGGGTGGGAATTTGGGCCAGCAGAGATGGCAAATGCAGGTGCCTTTAGGAAGTTGGCAGGTTTCATCCTTATGTGAGGAGGCTGAGGGTGATGAAGGAGGGGTGGGGAGCACCATCAAGAGTGTAAGAGAGCATGTCTCATTGGAGAATTCTAATTAAGGTAATTCATGCAATACTTCATTGACCAAACAAAACACATTTCACACAAATTTGGTATACAGAGCAATGGTTTGAACTCCTGGACTAAAGTCTAAGACTTCTATCTCACATTGGTGTCTTAACCATAAAGTCTTAAAAAATGGTTTTTGTTGCTATTTTTCAATAGATAATACATTGAAATGACAAAAAATTCAAAAAGAATATGAGCACACAATGAAAGTATCTTGCATGTCCCCATCTCCTAACTGCGTCATATCTCCCACAGACAGTCTGGAATTAGTCACTCAAGTGTCCTTTCAAGCTTTTACAAATGTACATCCTAAGCAAAACAGGCTATATTCCTACCCCCATTGTACACAATTGTAGCATACCACATATATTATGTATTTTGCTTTTTTCCCCTTAGCATTATTTCTTGGGGCTCTTTCTATGTTAGTGCAGAAAGATTTCATAGTATGTTATTGTATGTGTCATTTCCTTACATACTATCTCTATAATCTCTTAAATACAACTCTGTCCTGCTCTGGCAAATAAGAGAATCCCACTACCCACTGGCCATCGGATTAATCCCAACTCACAGTGACCCAGCAGAACCGAGCTGCCCCATAGGGTTTCCAAGACTGTGATCTTCAGGGAAGCACATCGCCATCTCTCTGCTGCACAGCAGCCAGCGGGTCTGAGGCCAGTGAGGAGATTTCCTTTTGTCGTCAAGTGTGCAACCACTGTGCCTCCAGGACTCCAAAGAAAAGGTTGGAGCATCCATGTGTCAAGCACATTGGTACATTTGTGGCCATCATCATTCTCAAAACATTTGCTTTCTACTTGGCATCAGCTCCTCATTTTCCCCTCCCTCCCCGCCCTCCTCCCTCATGAACCCTGGATAATTTATAAATTATGATTATTTTGTCATGTCTTACACTGTCCGATGTCTCCCTTCACCCACTTTTCTGTTTTGAGAATGTTGATGGCAGCAAATGTACAAATGTGCTTGACACAGTAGATGTGGATGTATGGATTGTGATAAGAGTTGTACGAGCCTCCAATGATTAAAATAAAAAGAAAGTAAATGTCTAGAAAATAATGAGGGCAACATATGTACAAATATGTTTGATGCAATTGACATATGGATTATTATAAGAGCTGTAAGAGCCCCCAATAAAATATTCTTTTAATTAAAAAGAAAAAGAAAAGAAAAGGTTGTAGCAGTTTGCAAATAGTTCACTTAAGGATAATCTCTGGGCTCTTCCAGATTGATCCTATATATCAGTGGTTCTCAACCTTCCTAATGCCATGACCCTTTAATACAGTTCATGTTGTGGTGACCCCCCCCACCATAAAATTATTTTCGTTGCTACTTCATAACTGTAATTTTGCTACCGTTATGAATCGGGTGACCCCTGTGAAAGGTTGAGAACTGCTGCTATATATTATTAGCAAGTTCACATTTGCCTAACTGTATTCCAAGCATGTTTCTTGTAGGGCTGAATGAGAAGGGTCAGGATGTACACAAGCAGTGGTCCAGAGTGTCAGTGGCTTCATGGGAGGGGTCCCAGGGAGGGGCCCTGTGAGAAGCACCATAGGTGTGGTGTAGAAACCCGACCTCATTAAGTGGTCCTGACGACCAGGACACCTGGAAAAGTATCCCCCAGGTGTTATTTTAGTTTTTCAGCCTGCTGAAAAGAATGGAAACCGGATATGGGAGCAGCTTCTGGCCAAGAGGAGGTGGGGCCGCGGCAGGCAGCCTGCAGACCCCAGGAGAAAGAGGGACAGAGAGAGCCTTCCCTTGATCTCAGAGGAGCAACGAAGCTCAGTGACATGCAGTGAGCTGCCAAGCCAGACACCTCGGAAAGTACTAGACTAGTAAAGCATCTCGCACCCAGACCCCAGGCTCTGCATTTGCACCTCTCACCCGCCTGGCTGGGGCTCCCTCCGGCAGAGAGCACAGCACCCCATCTAAGAACGTCAATGAAAGCTTCTAGTGGTGACACCATCAGCAGCAGATAGGGTGTGATAAATGGGTTCGTTTAAAAGAGTTTCAATGCCCTAATTCTTTTTTGAAGTGCATTTTTTTCTTATACTAGATCATTATGTATTGCTCACAATTTCAAAAAAAAAAAAAAGAAAAGAAAAGCTTACTAAAGTTTGAACATCTCGGATATACAGGATTCCACCCTTCACTGTGCTTAGGAGCCATAGCCCATGCGAAGACAAGTAGAGTTTTCCAGGGCCGTGTTGTCTGCTTTGTAGTTTTTGAAATGGTTTAAGAAAACAAACACCAGTATGCTCCTGCCAATCAAACACAAGGATCGCTTATTAGCAAAAATCAGGGGGTGACCCCTAAGGGTTTGTGGTTATTCAGGTACCCAAACTCCAACCCAACCAACCCCACTCAGAGTTTCCAAAACTGTACATCTCTGTACATCTCTGCCAGAGCACAGTTTCCAAAACTGTACATCTCGGCCAGAGCAGGCAGCCTCGGCTTGCTCCCTCAGGGTGGCTGGTGGGTTTCAAGCACTGTTGGGCTGGCAGCCGATCCCAGCGCCACCAGGGCTTCCTTGGGCACAGGACAGACACTGCCGTTGGTCACACACGGATAGATGATGAAGTGGGCGCCTGTGTTTAGACCAGGTTTTCACCTGTGCTAGTAAATAGAAGTCTGTTTCCACCAACTAAGAAGCGTCAGCTTTGTAGATTAGCTTCAAGATCCCAGCCTACAGGGGGATGCTTTCCCTCATTCTCATGTAACCCATGCTCGAGCGAAAAGAAATGTATCAGTTTCCCCCCACGTGGCTTGCTACACTGCGTTAGGGCTCAGGTGCAAAGTTCCATGGAAAACCAGCTCCCCTAAACTTCCCAGGGCTGGTGGGACAGATTTCCAAATGCTAGGCTGTTGTTGTTTGTGTTTTTGAAGGCATTAGACGAATGTGTCACCTGCCTGTTTATCTGAAAAGCATAATGGATGGGACAAAAGCATGGGGTGGTTCGAGTATGTTTTAAGATGGGTCAACAAATAAAGTGAATGTATGTCGAATGCAAGGAGGTGGTATCAGTATGTCTAAGGCAGACGTTCGGACGACTCGACTGCTTGGGTGGAGCAGTTAAGAAGAGTAAGTCCGATTCGGCCATGCCGTAACTCTTGCTTGCTAAGAGAAACGAGCACACACATAAGCTTTGGCTTACATTGGGGGGAAGAAGATAGCTGCAGATGTATGGCACCTGATCACAGAAACCCAGAATCCGCTGGCTTTGAAAATCCAAGACTGCGGAGCAGAGAACGTGCTCGATCTCATACAGGAGCTTGTGAATGAATATCTCTTGCAGCCTCCCTCTTTTATCCATGAGGGATTCGGCAACTGGGAGATCGAGGAAGAGGAGAGATCACTTGCACTGTGGTTTGATTTTATGAATCCTTATGAACAAATATCAAAAGCCAAATGAGACACTGAAATGCCTGTTGAATAGTGCAGGGCTGAGCCTGTTCATCCCAACTCACAAGGAGCCCACTGGACCATGGGTTTGCTCAGACTGGACATCTTTAAGGAAGCCTATTGGCACTCTTTCTTTCAAAGAGAGACTGGTAGTTCACACTGCCAATCTTCTGGTAAGAGGCTTAGTCCTTAACCCCTGGTCCCAGGGCTCCTTTTTGCAGAAGCTATGAAGTGATCCAAACAAAACCTTCACCTCAGTCCATTTTAGGACATTTCTTTTTCCTTTTACTTATTGTTGTTAGCTCCCAACTCTGCCCCCCACTCAACCTCCCCCACCATGCCCCTAGGAAACTATTAATCCAGTTGTTATCTCTATAGATCTATTTATCCTGGGTTTCATATACAGAAAAACCTACAAAATCCCAAAAGGAACAAACGAAAAGCATTTCCATGAGAAATACTGGAGTATTCAGTAACTGATCTTGGTTAAAATGTCTTTTGTAAGGCACTGGGTAGATTTTTGATCGAGTAAGTAAATATCATTAAGAAAAAGTCACACTGGCATAACTCTCACTGCCACGGAGTCCCTTCTGACTCATAGTGACCCTATAGGGCAGCACAGAACTGCCCCCGTGGGCTAGTGAGGCGAACTCTTTAAGGAAGTAGAAAGCCTCATCTTAATCCCCCAGAGTGGCTGGTAGTTTCAAATTGCTGACCTTGTGGTTAGCAGCCCACTGTGCCACCAGGCCCCTTCTTACCTCAGCATACCCCACACATGTCACCCCAGGTGCCACGGGGTACACTCAGATGCACAGCCATCCCGTGGGTTTCAATGGTTGATTTTTAGGAAGCATAGCAACTGGTCTTTCTTCTGAGATACCTCAGGGGATGGACCCAAACTGCCAATATTTCAACTAGCAACTGTGTCTATCAACTCTACATCACCTAGGAACTCCTATGATGGTGTATACATGGTTGCTGTTTTTTTAAGTTTTATTGACATATAATTCATACTTCATACATTTCAACAGTTCAATCATATTCAAAAGAGTGTGTAATCATCACCCCAGTCAATTTTAGGACATTTCTTTTTCCATGTACTCATTGTTTTTAGCTTCCAATTTCCCCCCAACCTCCCCAACCATGCCCCTAGGAAACTATTGATCCAGTTGCTATCTCTATAGATGTTATCTATCCTGGATTTCATATACAGAAAACCATACAAAATCCGAAAAAGAAACCCAACAACAATGACTGAATAAAACAGAAAAAACTCAATAGAAAAGAAAGCAGAAAATATTTTAAAAACTAGAACAAATATACATTGGATCGAGATGGCGAGGTCAAATGGCAAGGTATCTCACTGGACCTAACTCCAGCTACAGTGAGCCACCCTACCATGCACTCTGCGTGGTCACAAGGCACTTCCCATCACTAGTCCTTAGTGGGGCACCTCACTGCCATCAAGTCAATACTGACTCGTGGCGACCCCGCTACGGGAGTAGTAAGCCCAGTTTTCTCCTGAGGGGCTACTGGAGGTTTCAAACTGCCAACCGTGCAGATTTCAGCCCAACTCGTAATCACTGCCCCACCAGGGCTCCTCTCCATAGTGGTATGGAGTCTCTTAGTGAAGGCATAAAAGGGCTTAAAGGCTCACGTCTCTCATAGCTATAATTACATCTTTGAAAAACAGCTATATTGTCATCTAAGGCAAAGAAAAGTGCTTATTTTCTCAAACCAACTTGTGCAAAAAGCTTTCTTTACAATTTTATCATGAATGTAGTTGCATTCAGGTAGATTTATCTGAATTAAACTGCGTTAATCTTGAATTTAAAGCTACAAGACAAGCCATCACAAAATGGCAAATCCATTTGACCCAAGCATCAGGAGGCTGTTTTATTTCCCCTCTGGTAATGACACAGGTGTACATAAGAGTCCCGGCTCAGAGGAGAGGTGGTGCTTCTGGTGATTTGGCAGTCACCTTGCAAAGATGCATGAAAAGCAAGCTCTTTTTCTCTTTCACCTGTTCATGGGACCACCAGAAAGAATCACAAAGCAATTGTAGCTAGCACCTTATCTGGGCACAGGACAGGGTAGTGGGCGTGTGCTTTCTTTACCTTGTGGTAGGATTGTAGGCAGAGTAAACAGTTCCAGTCTGCTTCTTCCTGCTTCTGGGAGTGGGGTCAGCACCATCACCTCCACTGTGTCTGTTTCCAGAAGGGACACGGTGGATATTTGGGAGATGCCTTTGATCATCTCTGAAAGAAAAAAAACCCATGGAAATCAATACCACAAGAAGTGTTGGTTTGTGTAAGAATCACTTACTTTGGCCTCGCTCTGTGGTCCTGTCACAGTGTTCCATACCAGAGCAAGCTGTCACTCGGCATCAGGGACTGGCCTCCTCGCTCGTGAGCTGAGGGCACTGGTGCTGGTTCCCACAGAGAAAGGAAAACATCTTCCCCCCTAAGATATCACATTATATTTTTGCCTTCCCCCAATCTGTAGCTCCATATTTATTTAGCTGGACATTCAAAGTAACCTTAAAACATCAGCGGTGGGGACATCTCTGATGCATGAATGGGGAAGGGGAGGGGAGTATTCTCTTAATTAGATGCTTGGATGGTGTTTCCATCAACAACCACAGCAGCCATTCTGCCCTCTCCCTCTGTGGTGCTGCACAGGTTCCAGCAGAGCTTCTAGACCAAGGCTGACTCAGAAGAAAGAGCTGCCAATGGACGTCCGAAAATCTGCCAGTGGGAACCCTGTGTATCAAAACTCAACACTGCCTAGTCGATTCCCCCACTCCGTTTTCTGACGTTCACTTAGGAACAAAGTGCAGCCCACTCCATAGTTAGGATGCGTCCTCCTCTCCCATCTCCTATTAGCCGCCCTCTGTCAATGACCCCTTTTCTTTTCTTGGGCCTCCTGGTTCCTTCCACTCAGCCCTCAAGTCTCCCCTCTTACCCAGTAAGACCGTTCCTTCAGCTCTGCCCCCCACGCCGCTTTACCATTCCAAGTCTCTTTCCTCCACCGCCAACTTCTTCAAATAGGAGTTGCCACTTACTGACTTCACTTTTTGACTTTCATTCCCTCCCTGACCCCTTTGTCTCTTCATTCCAAACTAGTAGCTTTCCAGGAGGTCACCCCTATGTGGCAAAAGTACCAGTCTCATGTCAGCCCTGAACCACTCACACACGCAGCAATGTCCAGCTCCACCCAGTCTGCCCTCTTCACGCTCTCTCTGGAATGTGTGACTCCTACTTCCCTCTCCTCTGGATCATCATCCTCATCTTCCTCTGACCATCACTTAAATGTAAGGGTGGACGACGGACCCAGATTTCCCACCCACTTCCTGGCCAGTCCTATATGTAAAAGGAAATGGGAAACAAAAAGGACATGCACCTACTTTGATGCTGGTCAGTGACCATGTAGTCTAACTGCCGCCGTGGCTGCTTCCTGTCTGACCTCGTTAACTATTTGGACTTACTTCTCCCCTTTCTTCTTGAGCCATCTCACCAGCACCCACGGTTTCCAGATGAGGATTCTGCCGTGGGCCTTCAACTTCAAATCTAAATGTGTGTGAGCACGTACTAAATATCTCCGAGTGAAGAACCTGTTGGCTTCAAACCCACACTACTTATTATTTCACCTCACAACTGCCTTTTTCCTCAAGGATTTATTCCAACAGGAGACATCACACATTTCAAGTACTCAGGCTAGAAATTCTGGATCCACTAAAGATTCATCTGCTTGTATTTGTCATATTCTCATGCCAACGTCTAGAAGTGCTCTTATTCACAGTTGTCCCCACCTTTCTTCTTCCTTGGCGGATAAGATTGTGTGCTGGGAAATCTGGCTTCCTGAGTGTGGGTCCTGAATCTAGTGCTAACTGGCCACATGACCTTGGATAAGTACTTACCCTCACTGAAAACAAGAGTAGAATCTACCTCATAAAGCTTGTCTGTGAGAGTTAAATGAGTTAATACACCAAGTACTCGCAACGCTGGTTCTCCACCACATGGGAAGGAACCCTTCAATAAATGTTGGCTATCATTATTTGTGATAGTTAGGTTTTGTGTTAACTTGGCTGGGCCAGAATTCTCAGTAGGTTGGCAGTTGAGACCCTCCCCCACCCCCATAATGTGATATAACATAATGTAATCAACTCTGTGAGGCATCTACTTTGAGCCAAGCAGTTACACAGGTCATAGCCCTAATGAATAGCTCCTCGGAATATGACCAACTTGAACCTTAAGTAGACACCGAGGAGAGCATTTCTCTTTTGGCTAGCTTAGATCCCACACCTGTCACACTAGTCTCCAGTTCTTGAACCAATGACCTGCCATATTGCCTGCTGACTCTGGGAGCCATCAGATCCTACCAACCTTGAATTCGTTCAACTTTGCCAGCCAGAGCCCTCATCGTCTGACGTGGTTTTCATGCTTCCATTGGCCCCAGAAACTGCACGGTTTAGGAGGAGCCTCCGGCTTAACATCTGACCCATGAGCTTGAACAAGACTTATTTGTTCCATTTTTCTTGATATGAATTTCCCTCTTTATATACACATCTATACAAGCATCACTGGTTTGCTTCTCTAGAGCACCTAGCCTAACACACCATCTTTTGATTGGGCTACCATAATTGCTTCCTAACTTATTATTTTTATTCTTTTCTCTTGCCTTTCTAATTCAAACTTCATGTGTGTATCAGAGAAAGCCTCCAATAGCCAATTCCAACTTGAAATATTCTGATAATATTCCGCAGAACAAATTTCAGACTCCCTCAAGTGATATTCAAGCCCCTCTGTCATTCTTCTGTCTGTATTATCAACTGTTTTGTGGGCCAACTTCTAATAAATCCTTCCATTTACCTTCTACACCAGACTTCTTACCATTCCATGTGCCTTTACTCAGACTTTTATCTGTAGATGGAATACCTGACATGCCCCCATTTTCTAGCTACAAAGATCTATCAGCCCACCTAAACCTTCAGAAAACCTCCCCTTAATCTTCTGCACCTCCCTCTGTGTTTCTCCCCAATATCTGCACTCTTGGCAGGATTAATTGCCTCACCCTCTAGCAGCTTATGATTCCTCTTTCACTTCTAACTCATATACAGGGTTTCCAAGGCTGGAACTCTTTCTGGTAATAGATAGCCTCCTCTTTTATATATGGAGCAACGCGTGGGTTTGAACCACCGACCTTTCTGTTAACAGATAAGGCTTATCCTGCAGTGTCACCAGAGCTCCTTACAGTACAAATATTGGTGGTGGGGGGCGGGGAATATATTTTGTACTTAAAGCCAGTGACCAGAATATTATTTCTTAACATTTAAAACTACCTCTCCCGTTAGATCTATGATTACCTGGGTAGTAAGATGCACATTACTACTAATATCTGGGCATCCATTTATTATAGAAAGAAACATTAAAGATCCATGCAATAAAACTTGCTCTGTATGCATCTATTAAACATAAATCAATACTGTTTTAGAAGATATTCCAGTGAGAAAACAGCCCAACTTACCCTTATAAAAATATTAGAAATTTCCAGTCATTTCTTCCCCCCACCAATCATTTCTTTCAGTAAATAATTAACTGATTTAAGGGGGGAAATGGCTCTAATACCAAATACTTCTAATAATGAGGTGAGAATTCTCCTGAATAACTTTTAACAGTTATTTCAGTGTTTCTCATTTTAGAAAATAGGGTATAATTGTTTCCCAATTGTTTCACATTTGCAATCTTACGTTTTTCAGAATAAAGTTCATAAAGTTTTAATTCAATAAATGTTGAATATAGTACCTGTGAATCCAAGAATCTTAAATGAGCTTGAGGGTTTGGCATTGATGACAAAGATGTGTCCTTCTGATGTTCCTACTAACAGAAATATTCCTCGCTGGTCATAACTAGAAAAGAAGAAATTTGATGATCAGATTTTACTTGCTTCACTAAGAAGATGAGAAACAAGCTTAACAAATAACCACCTGGAGATATTCAAAGCCGATCTCTTTATGGCTTTTAATATGCTCTGATGTTTGAAACGCCAAGTGCTTATATATAAATATAATCATTACACTCTGAGCCAAGACTTTTTCCAAAGGCATGCCACTGTTTGACTGTAAGGGAATAAATACAGTTGTAGCGCCTTCTTGACATTTTGAAGTGGAAGCAATGATTCTAGACTAGCAGTGGATGCAGCGTTTCAGCATCCCGGGCCTGGTACCGACAGGAGGAGGGCGGGGGAGGCAGTGAGGTGCTCTACCATTTCATCCAGTTAGAGAACCGTGAAAGCAGCAACATCAGGAAGCATCCTCCAGAAGACGGCTGTGGGTGAGGGAATGGCAGAAACAGACCCTGTGCTTGAGGTGGCCACTCCGGGCATGAAGAGCTCCTCTAGGCCTGCTGTGAAATCGGGGGCCAAACCTTCCCCTGTGTGTCTCATAAGGTCAAGGCTACCTTTCTGAAGGAACTGCATAGATCGCATTCAACAGCCACAATGTGTGAGAACACCTCAAGCTGCAGTGCACTCCAGGTGTCAGTTCCCAACCGAAAGTGCTGTTGGGGTAAGAACTTGTGAAAGTCACTGGGGGCCGGGGAGGTTGGCAACACGCAAACAAAGCCCACCTGTGTGAGGTGCATACAAGTGGAGATCTATTTGCTGGTCGGTGAATAAAGTATCTCTGGAAAGAGACTCCAGACGTCCATAACAAGTTGTCTCCAGGAGGGAGAACCCAGGGGTGGGGAGGACAACAGGTGGTGGCTTTTCATCCTTTGGGGCTTTTTGAACATTGAAATGAAGAGAAGCTATGGTCTCACGGTAATTCTCAACAGAACAGACAAAGTAGCTGCGCGGAGCAATAGTACTTACATAACACTCTGCACAGATGCTTCCGAAAGAAAGACCCTGTGGATTTCCGAAGGGGCGCTGAGGTCAGAAACATCAAGGAAGTGGACTGAGCCATCCAAGGTCCCCACGACAGCAGAGTGTGACGAGGGAGAGCAAGCCAGGACCGTCGACTGTTGAAAGTAAATCCCCAAACACTTAGTCAGAAAATGAAACCTGGCCATCCATCACGCACTTTTCCTCAAGCAGACTTCTGCAAGGTATTTGAAAATCATGCTGAGCAAGAAGAGTGGCAAGTGTTGTGTGTGTCAAAAAATCATAAACTCAAACTGAGCTAATCTATTGCCAAGGAAATCACAGAAACTCACCACAGAAATGTGCATACCTCATTCTTTAATCCCAAATTTGGAATGATAAGAATCTAGAAAGAGATGAATAATTGGGGGACAATGTAGAGAATGGGCGGAGGAAGGTGCTCTGCCTTTTTGACATTTGAAGTTTATGAATTTCTGTAAACCTAAAACTTCTTTAGAAAAATTAAGGCTATTAAAAAGGAGTTATGAAACAGATGGAGGATGAAGACAATATGTAGGGTGAATAAAAGTTGCAGTGGACTCAAGAGGGTGTGGAGTCACGATGGAAGGTTGAGTCATGATGGAGAAGGATACAGGATGGAGGGTGGAGGATGGATGGAGGGTGGAGACAACATGGAGGATGTAAACTGCAGACAGGGTAGAGAATAGAGGAAAGCTACTGGGCTGATACAGGATGGAGGGGGAATGCAAGAAGGTACATGGAGAAAAGATGGAAGACAGGAGGGTGAGACAAGTTGGAAGGTGAAGACAAGATAGCAGGTGGGTATAGGTAGGTGGATGCAAGGTAGACAAGGTAGGAGACACCGGGACATTGTTGAAATTATAAAAGACAATGAGTTGTAAAAATGAAAATGAATATGACTTAGATACAAAGGTATTAAAAAGGAAGATCTTGGAATAAAAACACTTCTACCTATCAATAAATGAAGTACATAGCTATATCTTAAAATATATCTGAAAAAATATATATCTGTATGTAAGTAGATTTCTCAAGCTTTAAGCTGTAGTTTCATTTTATTTTGAAATGATTATGAAATTATTACATCTAAATGATTATGAAATTATTATGCTATTTACAATGTGAAGTAATATAAAACATCTCAAATAAATTCATAGCCCTTTGGGATACTTTTAATAGAGTGCTAGTGATTTTTAAAATCAGCATCCATCTATTGCAGAGGTTCTCAACCTGTGGGTTGTGACCCCTTCGGGGGTTGAACAACCCTTTCACAGGGGTCGCCCAATTCATAACAGTAGCAAAATTACAGTTGTGAAGTAGCAACGAAAATAATTTTATGGTTGAGGGGTCACCACAATATGAGGAACTGTATTAAAGGGTCGCGGCATTAGGAAGGTTGAGCACCACTGCTCTGTTGGATAATAGTAGATCCAGGGATGCTGATTTGTCTGAGGATGACTTAAGAAAATAGCTATCATTAGACCATGTATTTGTTAAAAAATTAACAAATCACTATTTAAGTTACATTTATATAAAATGTGCTAAGAGAACATTTTATTCTCATGATAATCGAGTTCATTCCTCTAATTTTTATACTCTGTAACATGCTTTTAATAACCTGGATTCTCAATCAGATTGTATCTTTAGCTGTGTCTCAGTATGAAACTGGAAATGAAATGTAAATGTCCTTTTTTTTAAGATGAAACTCTCTGGATGTGTTTTTTCTTTCGGTTGAGATTATCCTCTGTTCCAGGACAGTGGTGGGCTTGTCTGACAAGGGAGCATTATCCGGAGGTTGTCTGACATATTCTCATAGATGCCACCCAGGGGAGCTGCTCCAGCTCAGAAATCCTGCTGTTAGGGGATGGACCAGCCCCATGAAGCAAGAGGAACTGGGTTCAAGGACAGGCAGGGATATCTGACCTCAGCATTGATGGCTCGGTCCTCTAATTGGGCCTCTGTAGGGCAGCAGTATTCTCTGCCCATTGTGTGCTGCACCTCACAAGTGTACGATCACACACCTAGTTTGAAAGTCAATCAAGGTTTGCCAAATTCAATTTCTTTCTTTCTTTTTACACTGTCACAGAGTCTCTTCCAATCACCAGCTACTGAGCAAACTGGAAGTGGAATGGGTCTCTGACAGGCTTGTTTTCCCTCCCGTCTCCCAAGCTGGCAGAATACGAGCTATTCTCCAGGTGCGATCCTGGGAGGTCACCAAATTCACTTTCAAAGTAGCTAATATCCCAACCATCTGGTCAAGTGAAGGGATGATGTATGCCGTAGAAAGTGGGCTTGTGGAGGTTACTTATGGCCAAGAGAATCAGAGTAAATCCTGATTACCGTTTATACTCGTGTAGAAGCCAAGTTTTTCAGCACATTCTTAATGCAGTTTTTGTGGTAAAAGTAGGTGCCTCTACTCATATTCGGGTTGGCTTATACTTGAGTATATATGGTATACAGGCCCCCAGGTGAGTTTTTAGACATTTCTGAGCCAATATTTCTCTAAAGGAAGATGTGATTATACGGATTTTAAGCTCTCCTAATTCTAATCATTCTAATGTAAATGAATACATGTGCCCACAGTTGTCACATAGACTGACGTTTTTTCATAGCTCACAGTCCTTTAAGGAAACATTTTTATTTTTACCAATTGGTGTGATTTTCATTATTTTGTATATCATTTTTTATATCTGTTACCCCCTTACAGATGCTTAGTTTTATATGATTGACAATTTAATCTTAGTCTGTAACTTGTCTGCCCACTTGCAGTTTTAGGTAAGGTGTAGAGCTGACCTAAAACTAAAATTCAACAAATGATCATCATATGGAAAATTACCATTACTCCTTGATCCTTTGACTTTTTTTTTATATTCCTTGAATGTCTCTACCTCCCCTCGCTCCCCACCATCGTCCACCTGTCAGGTTGTCATGCTGCCTTGGCTTGTGTGTTGCTAGAGTGCTGGACGCTGGACCAACCACATTTCAAATATCATCAGGGTCACCCGCGGTAGAAAGGTGTTGCGAGAACAGAAAGGCCCGGTCATCTACTTTCAAAACTTAGTCCGTGGAAAGTTTCTGGATTACAACTCGCTTGCTTTGATCGTGCCATGCGGCGAAATCAAGAGCTCGAGGAGGCCATCGTGTTTGGTGTGCAGTGAGAGGGAACCCTAAGCACGCCCGCAACTGGGAGCTATACAGAGCCGGAAACATGTCTTGTGTTGTTCATGGGCTGCCATGAGTTGGTGTCCACTTGAGAGCCACTAACAGTGTAAAATGCCACTGTAGTCATGGACTAAATAATGATATCGGGAGTTGTGGGCTGGTGCGGTTTGTCACCCCGCGTCATATGCTCTCCTGGGACATTTCTTGACTATCCGCTAAGGAAACTTCCTTCCTCATTTCCTGGTGGATCGGACTCAGCTCTGTGTCTCTAGTGATTAGTTCAGGGTCGCTGCGGAGGCACTGGGAGATCGTGACTAGACCTTTTGGAAAGGAGAAACTTTTTCTTTTCTTTTTCCTTCCTATTGCGGGCGGCTTTCTTCCCCTGGCAATATGATATGAACTGCAGTCTGGGTCGCATTAAGTGCAGCCTAACGTGAAACTCAAGACACAGGCTGGAGAAAGTGAGCAAAACCCATTTCTTAGTAAAATCATTCGAGCTGGTGGATTGAGTTACACCTGAGTTCTATACTTTACATTTATGACCAAAGAGAGGTGTCACGTCGGAGCTGACTTACGTATGACTGACCCAGACCCTCCAGCATTCACTTCCCATGGCCCTGGACACGCTGAGGTTCTAGATGGTGAGGTTACAAGTTGGTGGAGCTCCATCTACTTGACTCCCCGAGAGACGTGTGGAGCAGAAGACCCCTGCTCATCCACAGGAATGTGTCCTATGAGTGAGGTCTAAGCCACGAGGATTTCAGAATTAACTGCCCTCATGGAAGCACACATCTCTTCCTGTACACCAGTAGAGAGTGCTGGGTGTGCTTCATCCTCTAGGCTGTGGCCTATAGTCTATTCACAGGAATTACTGTGAATCTATAAGGTACATATGCGACATGCTTCTGTAACAAGTAGTTATACAGTTTACTGTCATGCACACATGAAACATTAGATTCAAATGCAACATGATGAGAGCGAGGAAAAAAAACAGACTCCAGACAAAGAAATGATTTCTCAGGCACACTTACTGGGGTATGAAGAGAAAGCTTGCCGACGGGAGAACAATCCTCCAAATGCCAAATACCAACTTCCCCGGAAGCTGTGAGTGTCTATAAGAGTAATGAGGGTAAAAAAACCAATTTTAAGACAAAAATTCTTCTATAGAAGCATGTTTTAACCCCTTATAGTATGTCAATTTCTTTGATGATTTCATATAAAAATTTGTTTTGCTCTGTGAAATATGATTAGCATTTCAAGGTCTGCAGGTGTTACTAAGCAAATATTAACGATTATACTTTAAGCAACTTGGTCAATTGGTATAACATAGCTCCTAAAGTTTATGTTCTACAGCAGGGGTCCTCCAACTTTTTAAACAAGGGGCCAGTTCACTGTCCCTCAGACCTGTTGGAGGGCCGGACTATAGTTTAAAAAAAAACTATGAACAAATTCCTATGCATACTGCACATATCTTATTTTGAAGTAAAAAAACAAAGGGGGCAAAAACACCCGGCAGGCCAGATAAATGTCCTACGTGGGCCGCATGTGGCCCGCGGGCCATAGTTTGAGGACCCCTGTTCTAAATCCTATGTTGCTAATTCTGGGGTCTTAAATGCTTGTGTGCATCCATCTAAGAAACAACTAAGGGGCTTCTACTCACCTAACGCTCTACAGGAGAAAGATGAAGTTTTCTACTCCTGTAAAGCGTTACAGTCTCTAAAAGCCTCGGGGGACAGGTCTACTCTGTCATACAGGGCCACTATGAGGCAAGATCAGCTGTATGGCAGTGAGTTTGGTTGGTCTGGAGTTTACTCAACAGGAGTAAGAGAGAAAGAAGAAAATCAGAGATTCGTCATAGAAAGTAGCCGATAGGACTAACAGTCTACAGTGTTCCCCAAAGTGGGAGATACTACTGCCCACCCACCCCGGGAGCGTTGGACAGATCCAGGGGGCTGCAGAAGTAGATACCGACACTCTTTGCTGGATTATGAGATATAGTACAAAAGGGTTTTGTTTTGTTTTCTAACAAAGGGGCAGCAGACCAAATACATGTGGAAACCTATGGACTATACAAACCATGGCCTCATATTCCCTGAAATCAGAACCAGATGGTCCCCAGCTACCACTACTGGTCATTCAGATCAGGGCCACATTGGATGAGTCATTATAAATGGGAGCAAAAAAATGTGGGACAGAACTCAAATTCTTAATTCCAAACTTACTAAACCAGCGGAGACAAGAGAACTCCCCAAGACTGTTGCCTTGAGATATGCTCTAAACCTGGAACCCAGACCATCCCTTGAGGTCACCTTTTAGTTAAAGAACAGATTGTCTCATGAAATACAAGAATGTGACCTCTGAGCACAGCGCTCCTTTAAAACCTCATCTAGAGGTATCAGACCAAATGGTCAACGGTCACTCTAAAGCAAAGATGAGAAGGGAATAGGGGAGGGGAACTATATGACTGGAAACAGCGCTGCCTGAATGGAAATCATGATATTGTTGTTAATGTTTGTGTAAAAAGACACCAGTGTTACTGAACAAGCAGTACAGCAATTGCTAAGTGGGAACCTGATTTGCTGTATAAGCTTTCACCTAAGATACAGTAACACATGATATCAAAGAATGGTACGATGGCTCCCACAATCACAATTGTTTTGGTCATTTTCAGAAGACATACTATTTTGAAGACCCAACATGATGCTGTCATTCCAGCTGAGGAGTAGATTCAGTGATGGAATTTATGGGCATCTGTTTCCCATTTGCATCCCCTTTGCACAGGGACGTCTGAAGCTACCCAATTACATATGGGTCAGGGTTTAAATTATAACACATTTCATCTTTAAATTCCACTGTGAACTAATAAGCTAGTGCTTACCAGGAAGTGACTGTTTGCAGGTTTGATAAAATCAATTGCCTGAAAGTTCCCTTCACACGCAATTAGGACTTCATTAAAGACTGGCTCCTCATCAAAAGTGCAAGTATAAACAGATCCCTGTAAAACATAGGAAAAAAGAAAGAAGAGGAGGAGGATAAAGACTTTCAAAAGGAAACAATATATTTGCTGAATGTGTAGCTCAAGAAGTTATTTTTCTAAATAGTTATTGCTAGTGAGGCACTGTGTAGGAAGAACAGATTGGAAATCAGAGACAAACTCGAGAAGCTCTTCACCGTGAGAAGCTTAGCATCTCGAGGCCTGATTCCTTGGATGACTCCTTGACTTCTTCATGCACTCACTCAGCAGATAGGGCTTTCTTCTCGTTGCAATTCCAGACAGGTGTATTGTAAATCATAAAACATAACAAAACGTTGTTTTCAGAACCTCAAAAATTATGTGAAAATAACCAGTCCTGACATCATAGTGGGGTACCCTTGAGCTGCTAACGACGAGGGCATCGACATGAAGCCGCCAGCCACTGCTCTGGAGAATCATAAGGCTCTCTACTCCTGTAAAGGTGTCACATCGCAGAGTCCCAACGGAGGCAGTTCTACTCTACCCTACAGGGTTTCTATGAATTAGAATGGACTTGGTGGCAGTGAGTTTGAGATTGTTGTTGGGTTTTGTTTTGTTTTTGACATATAGAAAATTGGGGAAATACGGAAAAACAAAAGTTGTTGAAAACCAGAAAACAAACTCAAGTGCCATGGAATCTGACTATAAAACCGAACACCAAGGCCTCCATGGGTTTCTGAGGCTCAGTCTTTACTGGAGCTGGGAGTCTTACCTTCCTCCCTCAGAGCTGCGGTGGACTTGAACTGCTGATTTTATAGTGAACAGCCCAATGGGTTACACAGTAGACGACCCAGGTGTGTCGAAAGGCATAAGGATTAATTAACTCCTGCCATGTGCAAGATACACCATGACAAACACAAATTTTAAAAGGAGGTGGCATGGCCAAAGCTGTCATTTTATGGCTTGTTTATCCAGTCTCGGCTCCCCAAATCACCTCTCAAAAACCCATTCTGGCATGGCAATAGTTAAACAACATGCAAATATAACAAATGTTACTGAATTGTCCACGTGAGAAATGTTGAAATGGCAGACAATTAGCTGCATATCTATTACACACACACACACACACACACACACACACACACACACACACACACCTTTAAATTAGTGTCTCCACCACGTCGCTGTGATATTTATCGTAAGGCCACTTGACCAGACATAAGAGTCTGCTCTCTAAAGGTAAGCAGACAGAGGTGACGGGAACCCAGAGTAGAAACGGGGAGAATGTTGACACTGTATAGGGATTGCAACCGGAGTCATTAAACAACCTGTGCATATGGCTGAATGGAAACATAACTTTTACCTAAACCACAATACAAATCTTTTTTAAGAGATGGAATCTACTGTAAGCAAAGTAATAGGGGAAAAGGCAAGGAGGAAGGGAGGAATGTGTTAATACATTATCCAAAGTACATGTGAATGGAATCAGCAAAAGCCATAATATAAGCACAAACACCTGGTTTCCTCATAAATAAATTGAAAAATAAAAAGGAGAGAAAGAAATTCAACAACTTAAATGAAGCTTAAAAGACACAGCTACCAATTGCGCCTGATCTGACCCCGCCATGCCGAGGCAAGGCACTGGGGTGGGG